TGTAAAATTATGGCTTAATAAATGATTAAATCGATTAAATTGATCACATGTTTAGTATGTAACAACAAGTATTAATGCATACAGTAGTCAATGATTTTAAATTGTTAAAAAATTAAAATTAGTAATTAAGTAAATGAAAGTGAATATTTATAGCAGCAATTAATATTCAACGATTATTATTTATTTACTCATTTAATTAACTAATTAATTAATTATTTATGTATTTATCATGACCTTATCTTTGTAGTTAATTAGCAAAAAGAAAAGTATGTAAGCAGTGAATATTTTAATTGAAATGAATGATTGATTGTTCTTTATTTTTTACTCTAATTACTTTTTTGCATAAACTTTTCTAATCCTAAAAAAAGTAGTTTAAATTATACATTTGAATTTTAAAACGATTTGACCGAATAATTCTACTATTCTATACGTTTTCTAGGCACGTCTTGTCATTCCTTTTTACTGTACGTATTGCATTTAAACAGGTTCTTGAAGTGAAATATGTGTAGTATATATATGTGTACATAAATTCTATATATATCTTCACGTGATGAATTTACACTGTTCACAGTGATTCCTAATTTGTTCTTAGTTATTGTCAAGACTTTGCTCTCTTTTAGTTATTCGACATGATTACTAATAAGTTTTATCTACAGTAAGTCGAGTTCTACTTAACAATAGTCTCGAAGTTGAGTAAGTTAAGATCAAAAATAATCATTTTTCAGGTTAAAGTTGATTTGATTAAGTTCATAGCTCACAGTTACAGTTATTTTTGATTTAATGTTAAACAGGTAATAAAAAATTTCCCCTCCGAATTTGATTGCATATTTTATGGAAAAAAAACTAATAAAAGCACATGTGTAGAAGATTATTATTTTTTTATTTAATATAAAGTCAATTTATTTCTATTTTATATTTTAAATACATATTTGTAAATTGCTAAAAAATATGTTTAAAAATGTTTGAAATGTACAAAATTCAAAATTATTGATACTTGAAAATAATAAAAAAGTTTGAGATTCATTCATTTTCTTTAAAAAATCATGCAGAATGGAAAAAAACTTAATTTTTTAATTTATCAGTTTTAATTTGTAATTGTAAAATGTGTGAATTAAAAATAAAACTTAATTTTTAAGTTATTAAATTTTTATTAACACAGTGATATTTGATAAAAATTAAATAAACTTTAATCTTTTTAAACTGTTTTTTCCCAGCTTACGAGTAATACTTACTTTTTGTCGCATACGTTGTATACTAAGCATTCTTAGCATTTTTGTTGAGCTGTTAAGGCAGACTGAAATTATGAATATAATTTGTACTAAAAGCAGTTTTTCCGTTTATCCTCACTTTGATTTTAGCTATTCTTTGACCTTTTTATCAACTCATTTGCATAGATAGCATTTTTGCTGCTCTTTTCTCGAAATAAAATTATAAAAGCCGCTTATAAATAATTTAAGAGACTTTTTTATAAGTTATTTGTAATTTTTTATACACTATCAGTATTATCAGTTACTATGTTTTTTGCTATTAGTTTTATCACTGTCAATTTCTGACGTTATCACTAATTTCGCTCTTATCATTCAAAGTTAACAATTGCTATTAATTTATAGCAAATTGTGAGTTGCATACAGTAATCAATAAATAATTTTGTCCTAATTTTGAATATGTAATAAAAATATTGTGTAAGAATCAAAATTAGAAGGTTTGTAGAATTAAAAAATTTTATTTACAGATATTTTTGATAAAAAAAAATGGCTGGTACAAAGGAAAAAGAGCATATACATGAAAAGCATGACAAGGATATAAGGGAACTTGCAGAAGCAGTAGTGAAAATTTCACGTGATCGACGTTTCTATAAAGCTAACGAAAAACCCCCATTTTCACTTGCGTTACTTTATGCTGTACAGGCAAGTTTATCATCTTTTGGCAAATTTTTACAGAAATACTTTGATTTTTGTACTAAAATACTGTATTGACATTACATGTTTGGGTTGAGAGTTATAGCTAATATGTGACAGAAATTTGAATAGGATCAATTCCAGGTCACCTCATTAATCTTATTTCATTCTTAATTCATTAATTTTTTATCGTAAATCCATTCACTTGATTCAAATCAGAACTTTCGTTAACAAAACTTGACTCCAAGTCAATTTTTGATCTCAAAATCGATTTCAAATCAGTTTTTGTTGACGAAAGCTTTCTGATTTAAATTAAAGTCTTAATCACTTTTGTAATACTTTCTTTGACCGCATTTTGCATATACAAATATATTAATAAATAATATACCAATAAATAATTTTGCGATATTATTATAAAAAGCTTAGACGATAATATTAATATTTTAGTTAAAATTTTCACTATTTCAGCAAGTAATGGTATGTGTAAGTGCACTTCTTACTATTCCATTTATATTATCAAATGAACTTTGTGCTGGTCGAGATGTCTACTCTTTACGAGTATTACTTATCTCGTCAACTTTTGTTGTTAGTGGCATATCAACAATTATACAAACTTTGCTTGGAACTAGGTATTATTTCCATTTTTAATTTGCATATTGTAGTTTCTATTTAGACAATAATAAAAAATACTCACTCAAATTTTGTAAGTTATTTTTAGAATTGAAAATTTTGCGGAAATTTTAAGTTGAGATTTTATTTTTTGGTAATAAATTTTTGCCAAATTTTTGTCAATAAAAAATTTTTCAAAAAGTATTTGCAAACGTTTAATTTATTGGCTTTTTCAGTTTCATTTTTACTCTTATCAAATCCATAATTTAACTTATTTATCAATTATTAGAAATTTTTAATTTGGTAATCAAAAATAAACAAAGCTATAATCCCATAATGATATTATTTCGTTGTTTGCATAATTTCAGATATCTTTTCCGACTTTACTTTACTATTTTTGTTATTAACTTATATTAATTTATATAGCGTTATTAATTAAATTAGACAAGCATTATATGATTTTTCTCCTGTTTGTTTTTGATTAAAAACATAAAAAATTTAAAAATTGATCCATCTTTTATTTAAAATAAATTTTGTTATTTAAAATTTATTATTTAAAAATAATAAATATAAAAATTATATATTTGTTATTTTTAAATATTAAATTTTAAATCTTAGTTTTTATAGGATTGTAAGTAAAACAAATTTGAAAAAAAACAGTAAATTAAATTTCTGCTATTATTTTCAGGGAAAAAACTTATTGCTGTGAGTTTATATATACAAATATTAACAGTCCTATGAGAATTATGGTTTAACAAGCAAATAAATTTGCATATTACTTTTTGTATTATTAAAACAATTATAATTATTATTTTTAATACATTTTAATTTGAAGTGTTCAAATGAAATTTTTTGTAGTAGTAATAATTTATGATAAAGTAAATATTTTTGCAGATTAGCGCTTTTACAAGGCACAGCTTTTGCGTACATTCCATCAATTCAAGTATTCATGAAATTAGCTGAATACAAATGCATTTCTTCAGAAGATGATGTTGTGGCGGCTTCTATTTATCATCACAAACTTGCCATCGTGAATATTCAATTTTAATTATTTGATTTCAGTTTTCAGTACTTATTTGAATTTTGTAAATTGCCTCTAATAACTGGGAAAAAACTAAGCTAATTTCTGAGTTTTCATAAGCATCAATGTCTAGCACAACTTTAAATTCTTATTTCTATTTTCTTTTACAAGCAAATTTTTAATAAATTAATTTTTCAGTTATGCAAATCATAATCATAATAATCTAATCTTATTGTGAACAAAGTATGAAACACGTCACTAAATTGCTGATTGCAGTAGTAATGATAACAGCAATAACACTTACAATGATGATGGTAATAACAACTATAATAATCATATTTGAAATATTAAAAACAGTAATAACATTAACAACACTGTAGTCACTTTATATCAAAAATATATCATCAAAATTAGTTTTTTAATATTGTAAATTATATTTTTATTTCTTTTTTTGCTTGTAAAATAGTATAATTGCTTTTGGATTCTGTAACACAAAAGTCTTTTTGCAAATCTGATCATGAACTCATTTAAACGAATTATATTTCACTTAAATATTTAGTAGCAGTACTTTATTATTATTTGAGCTAGTTTTCGTATCCTTTTCATTTCTGATTTATTACAGTAACATTGCAGTCATAGCAAGAAAAAATACTGTATCAATACTTTAATTTTTATAAAATTCAGGTTATTATGTTTAAAAAAAACATTCCAAGTTCAAACAGTAATAATCTGCGCTAATTTATATCAATTTAGAACTAACTGATCCAAATGCTAAACTAAATCAAACATTCAATACCGACTTGATTAAGATAAGATCTTAAAAGAGTTTGGTCTATTTACTACAAAATATTCACTAACAGCTGATTCACAGCTTTGTTATTAGTCATATTAATGCTTTATAATACTTATAAATATGTTTTCTATGTTTCCTGTTATTTTATTATTATTATTATTATTATCATTATTAATGTATTAGTTTATTTATTTATTATTATTTATTATTGTTATTGTTATTATTATTATTATTATTTTTATTATTATTACTGATGCAAATGCAAATTATGGCAATGTTAGCAGTAGTAGTACCATTAACTTAGCTAGACCTATACGTTCTTGAGTTACTAGAAGCATAATTTTTTTCACAAATGTAATCAGGGATTTTTGTATCCGGAAAAGTTATACTTAAGTATACAAAAGTAAAATAGAAGACAAGATGTAAATGAAAGGTGTAGATTCAAGGATGTTTGATAGCCTCTTCGCTGATACCAATACTTATCGGCATGACAGGCATCGTTGGAGTGTTGACAAAGTTCATCGGGCCTATTACAGTTTCACCTCTTATGCTACTTCTTGTCCTCAATGCAGTTGACCTCTGTGTAGAACGTATTTCTAAACATTGGGTTGCCGTAATGTAAGTTTTTATTTATTTACTTATTTGTTATCTCTGAAAAGCTTTAATTTGTGAAGCAGTTTTAAAACTTTTAATTTTTTAATACTTTTTCACAATTTTTCTTGATTAACTCTACACTATAATAAATATTCTGGCACTTTTTTTGAAGTTAAAATGCAATATTTTGAGGATTAACCATTTTTTTTCAAGCAAAATTATATCAGTTTCAGTGTAAAATTAGAGTTTTTGCTTCGATTAAATTATAAATCTAAAAAAGTCAAAAAAATAGCAGTTTGCATGTGAAATTAGCGTTGATATTAAATTAGTTCGTAGTTCTAAGCTAAGTATTTTGAAGTATTTTGTTAATTTAAGCATTCTTAATTTGTTAGCAAGTTTTTCTATCATGAAAACTAAAATCTTAGCAATGCTAGTAATTTGCTTTCTAAATTGGCTAAAAACTGAAACAGATAAAGCGTATAAAAAGGGTTTAGAAATTAGATGTCGGTCAAAATTACTGTTCTAAGCTACCATATTGGAATTATTTAAATTGAAAATTTTTAATTAAATATTTGAATTTTGCTGTTTAGAGCAAATTTTATGAGAAATATTTTTAAATAAATAAAAAAATTTTCAAAAAATTCATTACTTTCAAAAATTTATGACTAAATTTTAAAAGTTTTATTATCAAAAGTAACTTTTAATTTATTGAATTAAAGATTACAATTTAGACAAGCTGCTGCTTTGTTTGCAACAATTTTGTATTTGGCAGATTGGAAAGTGCCTACTCTTGGCTACAAAAATAATCGTTTCACTATCGTACGGACCAATATTTTTGGCCAATATCCAGTAAGGAATAGAAGAATTTTTTTATTTTACGCAAAAATACAAAGTTTAACTCCTATTAAAGTCAAAAATATTAATACGTATATTACATTATATTTGCTATAACTAATTGTTATCAAGAATATTGACAGTGCTTAATATTCAAATTTTCATAATTTTAAAATTCAAATTCATAAATACAAATTTTTATTTCAGTACCTAATTGCTATACTTACTTCTTGGGGTTTCTGCTTATTTCTTACTTTAACAAATCTTACTGCTCCTGATAGTGCTGCTCGATTGGATAAAAATGAAACAATTGAAGTGATTAAGCATGCCGAATGGTTCCGATTCCCATATCCAGGTAAGAGTCATTTTTCGGTATCTGATTCCAACATCTTTGCAATTACTCATTATGATTCAATAAGTGAGCTATTCATTGTATATATATATACTTTTCGAGTACATATAATTATCCAAATATTTGATGATAAAATTTTGCATTTTGTTGGATTTTCCGAACCTTTAATGGATGAAAATTGAAGCCTGCTTCAGTTTTGACAACAATAAGTGTTTGGAAAAAAACCAAACACTAGAAATATTTTTCTTTATTTTCAAAAAATTAAATATCAGTGTAAGGGTTGTTTAGTTCGGTATTAAATTTTTTTACCATCATTATCATTCAGGACAATTTGGTGCTCCTCAGTTCCATACGGGATTATTTTTTGCATTTACTATTTCTGCGTTAACATCGGTATTTGAATCGGTAGGAGATTACCATGCAGCTGCACGAGTTTCGGAAGAGCGATCACCACCTTCACATGCTATCAACCGTGGGATTCTAGCCGAAGGTAACGCTTCTAAAACTTTAAAATTGTACTACAAGTATTAAAAATTTGATTTCAAATCTTATCTGATATAAGAATCAGAATGAGTTTTTACTTATTTACTTAAATATTCAGTTTTCCAATAATTTCAGTAAATTGAAGATTTTTGCTTATAATTAGCTGCTAGCAATGTGAAGATCTATTTTTTGACGTATTATAAAATATAAGAAGTCTTGAAATTTGATGTTATAATTTTTATCTACCGAAAGAGTGAATAAATTACTCCTTAAAATTAAGTTAAACGTTCCTTTTCAAACTTATAATCTTACTACAGTTATCGTCCCGAGAATTATTACAAGTTTGAATTAATTTCAGGTTGCGGTTCTCTGTTGGCTGGTCTTTTAGGTCCTGGTGTAGGCATGACAACTCATACTGAAAACATTGGTGTTATCGGTGTTACTCGAGTAAATTTAAACTTCAATTTCTTTTTAATTTTTAATTTTTGATAAATATTTTACTTATCTAAACACTAATTAGTAAATGGAATTATCACAAAGTATTAAGCGTTGAATAAGTAATTATTTTTCATGTAATAGGTCATTTTATCTGCTGTTATAAAAATTATCTTTAATAAATAATCATATGAAATTAATAATTATTTACATTAATAATAATAGTTTCTGCAGTTTTTACTTTCTTTCACCATTTTATCAAATTATTTAAAAATATTTAAATGAGCATAAATTGAGTCTTACATTAAATTTTATATGTAGCGATTAATTAAAGGTGGCAAGTCGATTTACAATGGTCTTAGCAGGTATAATTCTAATTTTATTGGGTACAATTACTAAAGTAGGAGCACTTTTGTCAACCATTCCTGATCCATTAGTTGGTGGTGTTTTGGCGAGTAGTATGGCTATGGTTGGTGGCGTAGCAATCGCAAATATTCAACAGGTGAGAAATTTTGCATAATTAAAACTTGCGCGACTTTGCATATCAAATTTCAGTGTTGAAAGCTTAATTTTATTCTTTATTAATGTATGATGATTATTAATTATTGTATTTTAAACCCATAGATTTCGTTTAAAATTAAAATAACTATCATTCGAATATGTAATTAATTTATGAATTATTTGGAAAACATGACAGAAATGCAATTTTTTATTAGCAGTTTTGCGAATTTTCAATTATTTTTGAAAATTCAGTGCCTTTTTAAATATTAGGTTGACCTCAAATGTACCCGAAATATAGCAGTACTGGGATTCTCAATAATGGTTGGATTGATTGTTCCAAGCTACTTCCAAGAAAATCCTATCATCACTGGTACTTGTTTTTCATCTTTTGATTATAATTATATGATTATTTATCTTTATTATAGCTTGTAATTTTGTTTTCAGTATTATTTTAAATATTAATTAGATTTGAATTCAGGTATTGAGATACTTGATCAAGTCCTTACTGTGCTCTTAACGTTGCCAATGTTTGTGGGAGCATTCGTCGCTTGTATTCTCGACAACACCGTCGCAGGTTTATTACAGAAAAACTCAACATTTTTTTTGCCATTTTTTTGTTATAATTAGTTAAGCTAGATCCATAATTATTCATGATGGCACAAATTTAAACATAATTATGTATGTGAATTGAATTTTATTGTTTAGTATTACTTTTCGAGATGGAGTTAAAAATTGAAAATCTCAACACTTTAATCATAAAATCACTTTCATTAACTAATTCATCTTCAGATCATTTTATCACAGAGCGAACATTACTACTACTATGACTAGTAATCATTAAACTTGCTAGATACAAAAATATATGAACCATTGAACCTACGTGACATTTGACCTGAAGTTAATTAGTCATGAATAGCTTAATTTCCTACATCTTTAACATTGCAGGTGCCACACGTGAACAACGTGGTTTACGTTCTCGAGGTATGGCACATGATTTGGGTGAGAATGATTATGACGTCTATGCATTCCCTAGTTTTCTCATGAAACTGATCGACAAAGCTTCATATTTAAATGTATTACCATTCATACCTAAAGAGAAGAAAATTACAAATCGTGTAAATGATTCATTACCGTGATATAATAATAGTCATTTTTGTGTTGTCAACTGTTAAAAGGTATTAAAGAAGCGAAAAATTGATCTTATCACTTGAATTTTTACTACAAATTAAATTTAGTATTAATTCAGCTTATGTACACTTATTACTCTAATTTTTGTTAAAGTTAATAAGTTTTACTCACTAAATAATAAAATCAATATTAAATCGTTTGCCACTATTACTCATCTTTAAGGTAATATTCAATATTTGATTTAATTTGATTTAAAAAAACAAAACAATGTCAGAAATTAAATAAAAATATTACTGCTTCATTTATTCCACAGTAAAAGCACTGAAGTAAGTACTTGACAAGTACGTTAACTATACAGAGTGCTAATTTTTGTAGATTACTTTCTGATTATTATGTAATTAACACTTAGTGCTATTTTTGTTTTCTGTAATTTTTAACTTTGAAAAATTTTTTCTTCCAATATTAATTGATTGTAGAAAAAGAAGCTTTTCAATTGGAAGTAATGAAAATAATACTTTACTGATTGCTTTCTGTATTTTTAAATTCCAAATATTACCTCGTTTCCTATTCTTGTTCTTTTTTGTACAATATTACTACTAGTTGAAAGATAGATTATTGCTCTCTTTCAATTTTATAAAGTTCTCTAAAGATTTTCATATCTATCAGTGCTAAATTAATTTCCACTTTCTGATTTTATTTCAAGTTTCAAATAAGAAGACAAGTTATTAATTGCTACTATCAATAGATTGCTGATCTCTTTTGTTTTTCTCTTATAATTAATTTCGTTCAAAAATTTATTAATAATTTTGGTAAATTAGAGGTTTTGGTAATACTTTTTTGTTCTATTGTGTAATCATATCAGCTTAACATTACATACATTGTTGACTTTACTATCATTTATACATTTATACTAATTGATTGCGTTGATTTGATCTAAGGCAGTGATCAATCGATTATTGTTTTCGAGGCTGCAAAGTTTTTGTATCCCGAAGTCACGCATTGACTTTGATCTGCACGATTACTTTGTTGATAATACTTTTTTTCTCTTTAATATATCTATAAATAATAATTAATTAATCAATTTTAACTAATTTATAGTAATAGAGTCTTGTATAAATCTTTTTCTTTCTATATCTCAGCAAGAGCTACTAATACTAATTTCACTATTTATGATGTTGATACCACTTTTCTTCCGTAAACTATCGCTGTATTTCAGTGAATTTGGTAGAAAAACATTTAAAGTTGATAAATTGATAACTTATACAGCGGTGATGGCAGGTAACAGAGGTGAATTATTGGAAGAAAGTTAAAGATTTTCTGCTAAATATAATAGCTGTGTGCAAGTTTACGAATGGTTTCTAGTATAGCAAACAACCTCATAATTAGACAAATGCTTAAAGTTACGGTCCTGATTCGTTAATTTGAAAATTTAATTTTTGTGTATTCTGACTTCATATCGACTACAATTGTAATCACGATTGAGGTGGAGTTCAAGAAGTTAATCTTTAAACTTGTATGCAAAGAAGACAGAATCAGTTATTTAATTTCTTTACTTAATCAGGGAAAGTTTTCATCATAAAGTAACGTTTTTTAACGGTAAATAACTGAAGTAATATTGTGTGACTTATATAGCTCTTATTACCACGAAATTTTTTAACTTTTAAAGTGGTACTAATTATTGAAATTTAAAAAGTTTTCTTCACGCGAAGAAATCTGAGTCAGAATCCTCTTCGATTCCGCTAAATCCAGTTGGTTTCTCATTCTTGAAGTCATGTTCTGACTCTAATTGTTTGTTGAAAGCAGAAGATCCAAGAATTTTCTCCAAAAAACTCAATCCATCATTTGTTGCAGCAGACTGATTCCGAATCTCAGTTGTGTGTTCATTCTTTTCATATCTAAATATGAATGATTACAAGAAAAATCAAAAAGTAATAAATACTGGAGAAAAAAAAATGTTTCACCTAATTGTTTGTATCTCGAAGTCATCTCTCATCAGTCTCACTTTGTCTGATTAATAATAATTTATGATTTAAAAAAGTTATCATTCTTTACAAGGTAAGTCACTGCTATTGTTAAATACTTGAATAAAAAATAAAACTAAATTAATAAAGATGTAAACTTTGACTTCTCGGCTACTTCCACGTGTTTGAACTCTTCCTTTTTACTTGTTTTTAGTATTTTCTGTGGTAGCGATGTTTGCATAACTGATTTTGCTTCAAGTAATTCAACTGAAAATTTTAATTTCATCTGAATCATTTTCATTCCTCAGTGATGGTATGCAGTGCACACTGCAGTCTTTGTCTCCTTCTTAACTACTGCAAATAAAACAATTATTGCTAATAGTAAAATGCTTTCTAAGTATACTGTTTTTTATCTAAGCAGAATCTTAGCGAAATTTGTGTACTATGAAGGTGACTTCAGTTAGGCACTGCATGAATAATATAGTAATAAGAATACACTGACTGATTTTTAAGATTACCGGTGGGATCAATTTTGCCTTCTTGCTTCTCTTTGAGATTATCAGATGTCTTATTCACATCATCAGATAAATTCTCAAGACATACTCCATAATTGTCATAATTATCCTCGGAAATATTATTGGCATGTTCTTGCATCAAATCTTCCTTCTGATTATTTTTCTTATACGAGGACGATGAATTGTCTGACAAAGTAAAAATTATTTTAATTAAAATTTTTGAAAAATAACCACAAAAATGTTATATATTCAATCTTCGCTTCAAATTTGACAAATTTGCTGAAAATCGAAATTTCAAATATTAACTTAACAGTAACTTCTAACTAAGTAACTAAGTAACTTGATATGATTTACCAACTGCGGGAGTCTGGTGGTGTTGTAGTTTTATTTGAGATGCATTTGGTCGTTCAGTGAATAAATAAAATCGTCGTTCCTGGAGATTGTTTAAATTTTTATTTATTTCATCAAGTCCTTTTCTGATTTTAGCCACATCAGATTCAAACACTTGATCGCTGGAAATAGAGCTCAAACTAAGTTTTGATCTTTTAATTCTGAACAAACACAATAAGCATTTCAGAAATATGTTGAAAAGTATGACCAAACATTTCCATTCAGAATAAACTCTTTCGTTATATAAGTCAGATTGGAATAAATTGATTCTGTTTCTTTAATTTCATTCATTTGAAGACAAAATTTTTGACTATTTTTGCAAAATTTACAAAAATATATCATTGAAATAAAATGGCCATCACTGAAATAATATCTACATTTATAAATAATCGGATAAATCATTTATGTAATAAGTGAATTTTTATTAAAATGTGAACATTTTGGCTACGAAAGTCGAATAAATATAGCAATTACCTCGATGATTTAGTTCTGTATTGTTCAAAATTATCAAATTCTGCTTGCGAAACGTTTGGATTAAAAAAGGATCTTCCAGAATTGCGAAAATATTTGCGACCAGTTTTATCCACAACTTGTACATGTTTAGACTGATTATGGGTGCAAAGTAATTCCATTTCATAAAAAATTTTTGACTAAGAAATTCGCAGCAAAGTAGGAAGATTTTCAATAACTCTTGCTAAGTAATTTAAAATTTGAACATCTCGTTGGAAATAAAATTGAATCAAATAAGTCAGTAAATATACATTTTCGCACCAACCATAAGTCAGTAAATAGACTTTTTTGGTTAAAAAATATTGAATAGTAAAAGTAAAAATTAGCACAAAATAAACAAGTAAATGATATTTTCAAATCAAAACAAATTGAAATGATACATACTGGTTTGAGTGCCATCAATCCAGGTGGTTTCCAGGAAGGATACTTTTTTTGCAGAAAATTGACATATTCATCCTAAAAGACATCGCGCCAGTAAACTCAGATTTACTTCCACATCGCAAATAGAATTATAGTTTTACATTCTCTTTTCAAGAAATATATCCCGAGATAATTTTCTCAAATTTCAGACTATCTTCACGTGAGGTCAAATCGACTTACCCTGGCTTTTTTAGCCTTCGCTAATCTGACGTCTATTCTCACTAGCCTCATCGCCAGTTCCTCCAACTCTTCCCAGTCCATATAAAAACCAATTCAAGCTCACTACATATAAAATTACACTACAGAACAATCACTATGGAAACCAACTCTTCACTTCTATTTCATGAAAAATTTCCTGCTTTCTACCTTGATCCACGTAATGGACACTTAAAAAAAATAATCTTTTTTATTTTCAATTTATTTTGTCTAGCAATTACTACGAACTACTACATACATGTACATTAAACCAAATGAAATAAGCATTAAAAAAATAAAACATTAATCAAGGTTACCACGACACATTATAAGCATGGACAAAATATTTTTTACTTGACAATCACGATGATCTACTTACAAATTCTTCAGTTGATTCAAAAAAAAGCCACAAGATAGCTTAGAATCATTTACATTTGCAACCAGTAAAATTATTTCAAATCTTCATCACTTTCTTCTGCAATCTCATTACTCTTGTAATCTTGTCCCATTTCATTACTTCCTTCAATACCAGCCTTTAATGATTTCATCAGGCGAAGATACTGAAGATCAATATGATATTATAGAAAATTCTGCACAATGTCTGACCAATTTAGCGGTAAAAAAACGATAAATGGAAATTGACTAGAATACGACTTACATAAAGTACAAGAAAATGACGATTATATGAATAGCAATATAAGTGAGAAAAATTCAAAGTTTTATAATTGAAAATTAAAACTTTTGATGGCAATTTTTGCGACAAATTTGTTGGATTTCAAAGCATAATTATGGCAATATTATGAGAATAAAATAACTACTTCATTATCCATAGTCCTCAAGATTGGAGACTGAAGGATCTGTTGAAAACGATGATTATCATGAGATTCAAAAGCTGAGATCAAAGCATTACAAACATTTGCATCCTCCGAAGATCCGAAGCCATCACACCTGAATGAGAAATAATGAAAATATGCATTATCTAAGGAATTCATACCACGATATATATTCAAGTACACATGTCTATTTATTTCGTTCTCAAACAGCAAGTTAAATTTGAATATAAGAGTATATATAATTCAGTACGTAAAGCAATACTCGAAGCTAATATATCACAACTATTATTTATAGATGCAGTTATTTAAGTTTACTTTCAATGCAAACTTCAGAAATAATAATTGTTTATATTACCATATCTTATTAACTGCTTACTAAATTTAGTAAAAACGAAAACATTAAATTTTTGAAAAAGATCTGAAAACATAAGAATAGAAATACAAAAGAACAATGAAATCGACCACGGCTTAACTTTGCACGAATGAATCAATACATATCCCTACACAACAAAATTACTCTGAAAATGGTGATAAAATTGTACGTTCAGGGCAAAAGGAAATTTTCTAAACTCACTCAGAAAACTTTTGCACACTTTTGGTAGCTGCCACGGGGTCATCAAGCGCTAGTTGAACTAGAACGAGAGCAACTGTTAGCTGTCTCACTCGACCACTTTCCTACAACATTATGGCAACCAGCATGAAATGCGAAATAAAATACTAAGAAAAGTAAAGAACATGGAATCAATCTACAAATGAAGTATAAATTCAAATTGTAATTAAATGAATGAAGATAGAGTTTATTTTTTATATTAATTCTATAAATCGGGAAATTTGAAAACAACAAATGCCTTGATGAATTTCAGTATAAAGTATCGATTCAACCTTTCAGTTAAGTTTATTTCGACATGAAATCAGACCTGCTAAGACCATAATATCCATCCAACTTTCAAAACCATAATTAAATTATTAAACTTATGACCATAATCAGACTTTACATTTGATTTTAAAACGAAAAATTTTCAAAAAGCATACGTGATTGATTCCCCAACTGTAAACAATTTAAATAAATTATCAGTAGCTATGCTAGAGTTATGATGCAGAAAAAATAGTCCAAGATATACTTTAACTTCCATATATTTTTCTATTTCTTCACTGATCATATCAGCAGCACTGTTGTACTGTTTCAGCTTCAAATACAATCTTGTAAGTTGACTCATGAATTCTCCTGCCATTCGTGAACGATCGCTCTGTTGTACCATCGTTAGTGCTTTACGATATACCCGTAAACATCAAATATTATTATATTTTAATCTAGCTATCTGACCCTATAAGCAATTGTTTTATTACACTCAAGGAAGAAACAATGGTTTCTTCAGCTAACTTGCTTTTGGAAAGATTAAATAGAACAAGTAAAAGTTTAAAACCTCAATAGCTTTTTCACAATCAATATCTTCCAAACATTTAGCTGCTTTGTTTAGTACCATAGCCGAAGTGTCGCTGCTTCCTGATTCGGCATATCCATCTGCTGCTAAATTCATATACTTCAGTGCACCACTGCTGTCTCCCATATCTTTTAAAAGCATCGCGGCATTTTCATTGCATCTGAAAGCTGTTAATTTCCACCAAATTTAGTCATGTATATCAAACAAATCCAGAAAATCAAATAGAAGAAATTACTCTGGTTTTCAAACAGAAGTATTTTTAAGAAAAAAAATATTTTGAAAAGCCTAATTTAAATATGAACAAACTCAATTTCAAAACTGTCTGTCTCTCAACATTAGATTACATGCTAAACAACTGGACATAACGGAAATGGTTAAATCCACAACAGGATTACTGACTTCACTATCATTTTGTTTGATATCTGATTCCTATTATTATTAATTCAGGCAAAAGAAGCAAAAAAAAAGGATGAACTTCGCAACACATTAATTCAACTACATGAAATAAAAACTTCAAGATTTCTCGACATTAATAATGAGAAAGTAAGAATTTGTGATATCACTGAGTAAATTACTAAAGTAAGAAATGTGCTTCAAAGTGATTACTTAGCCCAATGAAATAAATTCCCATTTTCCTTGTGCATTTCAGCAGCTTTTAGGTAGGCATCACAAGAAAGCTTTATTTCTGAAGCATTCTTAAAACAAATCGCAGCTCGATCATATTCCATGGCTGCGCTATCGTAGTCTGGTTTGAATTTTATCTTCAGAATCGACGTTTTCAAGCTGAAATTTATATAAGATAGGACAAAAATTTTATAAATATACGAATTTTGCCACAATAAAAACAAAACTATTAAGTGATTGATGTCATTATACAATATTAAAATAAGAATAAAAAGATGTTAATTTAATATTAAAGAAATAATAACATTCGAAAATGAACTCACTGAGCTTCAGCTTTTTTTATGCAGTCTTTTGCTTCAGAAATACGACGTTTTTTCACTTCGTCCATTTGAGGGTAAGCTAAAAGTTAAATTGGGAATTAAAAGCCAAGCATTATGTAGTGTGCTTTACTTTACCAGTTTAGTGAAACACTTTTAATTTCCAAATATAGCAAAAAAATGCAACTAATTCCATTCTTCTTGAATATTTGCACATAAAGTTGTAAACTTTCCCAGTCGAATCTTCGAGAGAAAAGTTAAAACATACAAATTAGATTCAGAAAAGAGTTCATAGATTGTGAACAGAAAGAAATACAAAACAAAATTTGATTATAGACTGAAAATAAAAAAAAGACTATAACTGCTACAGAAAGCACATGGAAAAGAATAACGCAAATTATGCAAAATTGCTTTATCACAAAGAGGTTCATTATGCAAATACTTTGTCACGTCATGTTTCTGACATACTGATTCTTGTGGGCCTTCTGTAGTCTCAATGATTTCAGTGATTGTGAAAATCAATCGTGAATATTTCTGCTAAAGTCTCTCGAAAGTTATCGATTTATTGGATTGATTTGGTAGGAAGCTTTAAAAAAAATAATTTAATAGACTAACCAATTTCTATCACTTTGTTTTGAACTAATCAAAGCAAGAACAGTAATTTTTGTTGTATTTGTGACAAATTATCTCATATTCATTCGAATAAAACATTTATAAAACTTCAAGTCTTTATTTTTGGTATTTTTTAAACAACGACAATCAAGACGCGTCAGTGGTGTAATGGTCAGCATGGTTGCCTTCCAAGCAATCGACGGGGGTTCGATTCCCCCCTGACGCAGGCGGATTGTGATGATTCATAATATATGGTAGCAATCCACCACACTTTTGCACCTTTTTGGGCTACCATTATAATCATATGCCCACACTTTGTTAGTCAGACTGAAGTTCTAGTTTTAATAATATTCTGTGGTATAATAGAATTTAATCTAAAGTCGGCATCCCTTTGTGAATTTATTGCATTAAATGTTTAAGACTAAAATTAATGTGAAAGTAAAGTTGCATTAAAATTTATGGCATTAATTTCAAAAAAGCAAAGAATGAAAGTGAGTTGCGTCAGGAAAACGTGCTATTGAAAGTGGATTAAAGTGAGTTGCGTCATTTTTCAGAAAACAGTCGATGGAATACTAAAATTGAGGAAAATTTCCAGATGATAATTCCGGCTTCAAATATAACTAACTATAAGTAGGTACCTATTTTTTATTTATTTAGTACCTGTTTAATATTTAATTTGATCTGTTTGAATTAAGGCGCAAGAAATCTTGCTGATCTGGACATCAACTGTGATCTTGTGTAAACATTTCCGAAGGGTACCCTTCTCTATTCCTATTCATCATTTCTTCTTCTAAATGTCAGAAAAATAAGTAGAGATCTAATTGAATGAATTCATGATTAAAAAAGAACCTCATCATTCATTTGGATTTTGGATAAGAAACATTGTCCACGTGGATATTTGCGCTTTTCCAATCTTAATATCACAGATAATGATCATTACCCCTTTATCAGATTCTTCTTCGACTGAAGCAGTCAGTGCATTTTGAATACCGTATATAAATCTAAGCGACATTCAGCAAAATTAAACATTCTAAGAACCAAACCGACCTTCCAGAAGTTTACTTCGAAGCAAGTGGTTTCTGCGTAAAAGAAACAAGAAAATCCTGGCCCCGTAGTCAATAAATACAAATTAATGAAAATTCAAACGACCGATGATTATAAAAATCCACGGTCATAGAAATTATTAAATTGAAATGAAACCAAATACTTGTCAAGACAACAACAATTAAAAGTAGGTGATTCTTGCATAATGCCTAGTTAAATGGAGCAAGAAAGCGGAGGTGACACGCTTTCCATCAAACCCTTTTTATTCATACGCATAACTTAAAGACTTTGAACTTTCATTAACTTCTTGAACTTATATTCCTCATTAAGTGAATACTGTAAAGATAATACTTATATCTTAAATTAAGATGGGAAACAAATCAATTCCAGAAAAACAATAAACATATCCAATTGACAAGTACAGTAAATGTGTACACCTTAATTGAAAATAATTTACATTAGAATTTTCAGCTGCTTGTATGAGCACATTTTATGTTCGAAAACGAAAAATAGAAGATAAACCTTTATCCCAATCATTTATACAAAATCAAGAAAAAGAAAAAGCACATAATCTAAAATTATTGGAGCAGCTAAAAATACTGACTAACAGTCCTTTCACGAAAATTGATTTATAATAAAAAATTATTACGACATGTAAACTTTAATATAACACAATTTAAGTGGATGAGGATACTGCCAGCTTTTTAAGATGCTCCATGAAAACTTGCAACGAGACATCATCAGTAAATACTGCTGCACCACCTTCCTAAAATATAATATTGTAAGAGTAGATTCAGATTTAATTTCATTAATATTCTCTTCACAACTTACATCGACTTTTTTAAATGCATTGACAAACCTTTGGTAGTAAAATTAATAAAATGGAAAAATAACAGTTCTAAAATTACCGCAGCATAGGGATTATTGTGTGTCAAGGACGGGTTAACTTTCGACAACAAAAATCGAGCCTGAAACAGAACCGATAAAAATGTTTGAGATTGAACACCTAAAAACGAATGGATGCTTATCAAATCATAGAACAAATACCAGTCAGTGTCACAAGCAGAAACAGAAAAAAGTACCAAAAGAATTTAAATCACTAAAGCTTTAACTATACACGATTTCACAAACTTGCATACTAGTAATTGTAAAAAACATTAAAAAAACAAATCATTAGAAGAACGTCATTAATTCATATAAAACAAGCCTGAGAGCCTTCATATTCAGTAACGATATAACGTGGCATTGGAAATCTATCTTGCAATATTGTTGTTGCATCAGCTACTGGAGCTTCCAATAACTGCTTGAAAGCACAGTATTGTGGATCTTCATGATAGTTCATTTTTCGCCAAGCAGCTATGGTCTATAAATTTAGATATTCATCAAAAACCAGAAATAAAAAAACAACACAGAATATGCAAAATTAACAATAAATTTCACCTGCCCATGATATATCAAAACATGGAAATAATCATCCATCAATAAAATTCGATCAGGAAGAATTGACGAAGTATCCAGTAAAACTGGCTCAGGTGGTCCATTAAAAGAATAAGCAAATAAAACAGGCTGTATCATAGTAGTACTTTCTAATACATTTTCAGACATCAAAATGTGCCTATAACAAGAATAATTCATGAGTGCACAAAATTACATAGCGCTGTCGATTTAATTAAGGTTGCCTTGCAAATTTTAATACTTGACAACTTATCCTTGAATTTACCATTATCTCAATATTATATACATCTCACTCTTCTATTATTCCTGACATTATGAAGAAATTACCGATAATATGATGTTTCATCTGGTGAATTATTGAACACTTGCAAAAATTGGGATCGCCGCAAGTGGAACATAAACTGTGGAAACAATGAAAATTTTTCTGATAAGCAAAATGATGATGGATCATCCTATAATTTTTAGAATTTTAAGCTATACTATTAAAGAGCAATTTCGCAAATTTTAAAAGTTTTATTCTATCTTTTTGGTGAATAATATAAAGAATTGAAATCCAAAAAATCACGCTTCTGCATACAGGTAGCAAGTGGTAGCTAGAATTATTTATGATTTACAAATTCATTATTATAAATAAAAGATTGATAATGCATTACATAAGCATTTTAGTGACAGCAAGTTCAACAATAAAAAGCTATCTTTACAGATAATCTTTACTAAAAAGTCTTTCATTGCAGTCTTTATTACAACCAGATATGAAAAAACAGAGATATAACTAACTTTATGATATTCACCAAACTTTTGGCAAAGACGAATCAGGCTTCGATCCAGCCATCGTAATGCATCTGGAGTGTCATTTTCGGATGATGCTCGCCACGATGCCAACCGAGCCATCATTACTGCTGCAGCTTCCTGAAAAAACCTATCAATTCGAAAAAAAAAAGGAAAAAAACATAATTATTGAAAATTAAAAATTATAAAATGAAGAAAAAAATACAATCTCTTCTCATTACATAAAAGTTTTTTGACAAAAGTTAAATAAAACAATGCAAGAATAATCTGATAAATCAACTATTTTGTATAAGAAACGACAAATGCCGTAACCTGGTCAAAACCATAAGCGATGCTCTGTTGCTGAGTAGCCATATCACTCCAATTCCTACACGTAGTTGTAACTCTAATCCGTTTTCGGCCATCAGGATGTTGATACTGAGTTACAAACTGTATCATTCCATGCGAACCTTGAGGAACCGTCGATCCATGCTACAATTTAAAGTAGTTAGTGCAAAAAAAGAAAAAAAAATGAGTGGATAAGGTGTTTTTTACTTTAAAGGTAGAAATTCGAATTTCTGGAAAGAATCGTCGTCTTTATGTGAAGCTTGCAATTCAGAAACATAACTAAATATTAAATCATTCGGAAAACTAAGATAAAGAATAAGGAACTTTTACTAAAAAAGTGCATATTTTTAAAGAGAAATATAGATTAAGTAAAAACAAATCAATGCAAAGTACAATAAATTAACCTGTGCAACAATCTCAAATAGTACAGCGATAGTTGTTTTAGGATTTATTGAACAGAACTTCCACTGGCATGTGCCGCCAATACCCATTTCTGTGTCTGATACAAATGCATTCTTCACAGAACCATTTGCACAACAACCAAGAACACCTTCGATTTTTAAACCATTGCCAACTTTGACCTGATAAACATTAATCATACTTCAACTGCGAAACCATTTTAAAATCTAGTACAGCATGAAAATTTAAGCCACCAAAATATAATTTCTGGTAAAAAAAATAAATGACGTCATAAGCATGATGGACAACGTTGCCCCTTATCAAAATATCCATAATACCTCATACTTTTTATAGTGAATAGTTAATATGCCCCAAAAAAATCAAATAATGTTTGTTGTTGATTAAAATATGAAATGGTTTTTGACTTTTCAAAGGGTGTCAAAAATTAATATGATAACGACTGGTATGAAACGTAACAATTTATTATGAAAAATTAATGTGATTATTGCTCAATCTACGATCAATTGAGATAATAACGTCAATGAAACCTAATTTTATCACAAATTAAGCCCATATGTTTCTGCTCTGTAAATATCCTTACTTCCATCGTAGCATTAAATCCCATCTTAAGAAAACCATGACTATCTTTTTCGAAAACTCGCTGGAATGTCTGCTTAAAAAGTGAAGAATTGAAACTATCCCCCATAACTACATTTCCTAAAATAAAAGATTTTTTTTTCGGCAAAAAGTTATATGATTTCAGACAAGCAACTAAACAGCTCATTTCTCCAATTAATGGAACTGTGAATGGTAGAAGTAATGTAAACAACCAAATTAAAACAGTATATATTGTAATCTGCTAAAAAAATTATGGAAATATTTTATATTTCTTAATGATTTAATTAGACCTGCAGTAGTGTTGAAGCAAGCATGCATTTCATGTAAGCCTGTTTGATCGAGTGCACAGGAATAAATATCAATTACATGACCGTTTTTCACTGCCCGTGCACCCAAGCCATCATAGAATTTTGTAGCCTAATAATTAACTTCGTGGTATAAAACTATGGTATAATGTCTTTTCGATAGTATTATCTCTGTTATCTGAAGAAATCTTTTCAATGCTGTGCAAGAAAAACTAATGTGGTTTGATTGATATCTGAAAATATTTCCATTTTTTCTTATTTTATAAAAAATAACTTCAAACACTGGATCTCATTACCATTTAGAGATCTCTCAATAAAAAAGAAATTATAGTAAGGTTAACTAACTTTCTTCATGTAAAGTGCATTTTCCTCTTTGATTGTGTGCCAGGAACGTATAGGGTTTTTTAGTTCTTCTCCTACTACAGCTCCCGGTCCTTGAGTACATGCACCACCAATGAATAACATTATTCGAGCTCCAGTATTGGGAAAACAAACCCACAAATTTCATTCTTTTAACAGGTTTATAAAAAGGAAACACAATTCAAAGGTATTTCTTATAAGCTTCTTACATAATTCATTCTTATAAGCTTGAAAAATCTTCACTTCCAGCAGGGTAACAGCAACAGCAAGAGCACTGCCTGTTGACCGAAGAGGACGATGTCCTTGTGAAACGGGCCAACGATCTGGTACGATTTGTTCGATTAAATCGTTTACTGACACTTCACAATCACTAATTGGCTGCAAATAAATAAATGAAAAACTAGATGCGTTTGATAGAAACAAAGTTTTATAAATAATAAAGAGAAGAATGAACTACCTGAAGAAACTTGTTAAATGGAAGACAAGGATTTCCAGTCATTCCATGTACCATGGCAGGACCACCTCCAAGTGCGACAGCAGATCCTAAAGGAAACCCATGTCTTTGCTGTGTAGAACTTCCTCCAGAATTTATTTGCTGATTTGAATTTGCGCCTCCACTGCTAATTCCTGATCGATCCATGTTCATGGTTAATACACCTCGAATCTGTTTCTGACTGACTTCTTTTGTACCCTGGAGTAAAATTTATTTCTAAACTTCGAATTTCGCAAGAGACAAAAGTGCGAAAGAGCCTCAAGTTTTTAAAAATTTTTTAAAACATTCATTATCACAATATAAATATTTTCTTTTCCATGCACATGAATATTTCTAATATTCCCACCTTGAAAACATATGCTCGCATTATACCACTGACATTGAGCTCATGTAGCTCAATCATTCTACCATAAGTTATCAAACCAACAAGAGCATCAGCAGGAAGAAGCGAAAGCGCCGTTTGGATAGATTCTTTTAATGCTTTCAACTCTTCAGATGCGATGCACGTGTCGACCACAAACAAAAATATTGGGGGTAATGTTGTAGCTTTCTACAAAAATTCTTGGAGAAAAAATTGAATTTAATTTAACAACATAATTAAAATTTGCTATTATTTTAAGTTTTATATATTTTTATTATAATACTGCAATAAATAACCTAGATTTTTTGAAACCATAAAATAAGAGGAAGCACATGAGGTACCAAAGAACACTAAAAGTCTCAATAACACTAACATCAATAGTAATAGAATATCTGAAACTTCCTTCCCTAATATTGTAAAATGTTTACTTTCAAAGTATATTCGATCGTTGTAAACTGGGGATAGAGTTCAGGAGGGCGATTATTTTCAGCAATCATGCTATAATGTGGTGGAAAAGGGTTACGCTGATTACAAAATGGGCATGTCCAAGTCTTATTTCGGAAATCAACAGTGCTGAAATATTTTATCATATAATACAGAAAAGCTTTATAGCTTACCGGAAATAAATCATGAGTGAAAAAATCTTACATACTTCTATATCTGATACTTTTCAGCTACTGAAAATTCGAAAAAGTAAGTTCAAAACAGAAACTAATAACCATAAAGCATTTAACACTGCTTTGCAAGTTGCTTTCTGACACAAAACAGGATCATATTCAAGCGGTGGCTGATGAGGTTGATCAGAAGGACGTTCCTAAACTTTACTCTGAAATGCTGCACCACAACACGGCTAGAAAAATTCGATACTATGAAAAACTAAATAAAACTAATAAGCATTGTTGGATCTACAAACTGACAAAATTTTTTAAATTACTTTCATGCCAGAAATGAATGAAACTTCAACCTTGAGAGGAGTAAAAAATGCGCCGAGAGGTACAACTAAACGTTGCGCATCCACTCGTGAATGTGGCCATAGATTCCATGTCATTTGTACACCATCAATGTTGGCTTGATTTGCCAGATAATCCTCCCAAGTTGCCATCTGTAAATAGCTTTTAAAAAAATCGAAATTATTTTGTCAACAGTTGAAGGACAAAAAACTGATGCGTTCATGGACAGATCACAAAAAATCTGATATACACACGAAAGAATGAACTAAGAACACGAAGCAATGAGACAAATATAAATTTAGCACTACACTGAAGCCATTAAATAACAAAATAAAATCTTCATCGTTTTAATTTGACCAACTCGAACTTTTAAAAAAATTTGCAGAACATTTAATTACACAAACAGAAGAAATATGATTGCAATCGAAATTTAGTTAGAATCTTATGTAAATATTCTGTGCAAACGAAATCTTTCTCGTCAAATAAGTGCTAATGACATGTTAGATGATGCCATTCATGATGTACTTATTTTGAAACACCTAAAACTTACACTTTTTATGAAGAACAAAAGTAGACAGCAGTTTTGACTTTTTACAGAATTCAATTACTAATTACCACAAGATCGGAATACAGTGTTCACAGAAGTAATGATTCAGTTACTTTGCCGAAAACGGAGAAAAGTCCACGTGTAAGTCTAAGAAACGCGATATGCAACTTTCAAATGTACTAAATGAATTTTCCCTAAAATTTCATCAGTCATAAATCAGGGAGATAAGACTTGAACGTTCCTTACCTATTTCTGATACTTCTTTCTCTACTGAACTGTTAACCCACAATACAGGCTTATGATCAAACAAAATTAGGAATCATTTTCGTCCCATTGGAAAAATTAATTGCACATATCATGTAGTCTCGATGTTACGGACCGTGTATATTTCAAGAGCTTCGTAATGGGTTTAACGTAGGCAGAGTAATCCTAATATTTACTTCTATTTACCAACGTTTTTTAAAGATTGTGCCAAATATTTGAATTTATTAGATTACTTTGTGTTTTATAATTAAGAATGAGTACTGTTTTTTAATGGCAGTAATTTATAATTTTCGTAAAAGTGCATTTGTTCGTCGAATAAAATTAAATGCGAATCTTAGGGGAAAAATAAGATTATTAATCACTACTCTTATTTTTAATATATAAAGGATTCAGTTTACTGTTGATAATCAAAAGTCAGATTTCAACAAGTCTTAATTAATTATGATTTATTTCAGAAATATTTGACAGAATGCCTCCGAAAACCACAGCAAAAGGTGGGAAAGGTGGAAAAGGAGATTCTAAAGCTGTATCGAAAGCACCAAAGAAGAAGGAAGGCGGAGGAGGTGGTAAGGCTAAGAAGAAGAAGTGGTCCAAGGGAAAAGTTAGGGATAAATTAAATAATATGGTCCTTTTCGATAAAGCAACTTATGAAAAGCTCTACAAAGAGGTATTTGTTTATTTTTTTACATATTGCCATGTCTGGACATTCACCTTGCGCATCATTCTGTATAAGTTTTTCAGCAAAAATTTAGTGAAATCTTCAAGTGTCTCAGCGTGTCAGGCAGATATTCAAGTTTTCAGCTATTAGTGAAAAGTTTCTCTTTTCTATATTGGCTATTGGCGCATAAATTTTCATTATAATGAAAGCTTCGCAGAGACCATTAAAATTTGATTTGGGAGTACTATTTTTGAAATCTTGGTTTCCCATATTTTTGAGTAATTTTTTGCGATTTTGGGAAATTCTTTACCTTTGGCTCTATGAAAAAGTAATGTTACTTTTATTATTTGTGATCTAAAAACTGTTGACTTGCAGTGTTCACAGCATATGTATTTAGCAATAATGTTTCAGGTTATTACATATAAACTCATTACACCGTCTGTAGTATCAGAAAGATTAAAAATTCGTGCATCTTTAGCTAAACAAGGACTTCGAGAACTTCTTGCAAAAGGTTTGCAGCAAGTTTTTGACTCCATTTCTTCATTTAAGAAGTATCTCTATTTCTTTTAAAGCTTTTTTTTGTAGTATGTATAAATCAAAGTATTGGAAAATTTAGGGATACGTCTATAAAACAGATCAGTAATAAAAAAATAATCATATTTTAGGAATGATTAAATGTGTCGTCCATCATGGTGGTCAGCTCGTATATACAAGGTGCACTAAAGCTGATGATACTGTTGTTGAATAAATTTGTTATTGATATTAATTTTCATAAAATGTTTTTCGTTCCACTATAAAAGGTATTATGGGTTCAAATATAATTTGAATAAATATCTGACATAGTAAAGCAACAGTGAATTTAACAGTTCCGTCATTACTTCGACCATTTTAAAATGATTCTTTCCATAAATAAATTGTTCCAAAATATGTTCATAAAAGTAGTGGGATCTTCTTTTGGCTTCGTAATATTTGAATTTAGAGTGCTTCATTGTAATTGAATCATGAAAGTGAAGACCAATACTTAATAAGATCTTTCGGTTAGGGAGTTGGATCCCGTTCTAAATAATACTATTTACTTAAGCACTTTTATGATACAGAGTAAGGGAAATCTTACAACAGTGAATTCACTTTCATATCTTTTCAAATTCAAGATTGAGTTTCACTTCATACGTTTGTTTCGGATTATGTGTATCACGTCTAACAATCTTGTTTGGCGGTCCCGTTTTCTGACTCTCAGCATCGAGGAGTCTCTGTAATGTACCTTAGCACTTATAGTTATTCCTTATTTAGTTAACAGTGTGAAGGTTATGATCCGGAATACGTACTTTGTACTTCTCCTGGATAAATCTTGCGAGTTCATCTAAATCGAGAGTTAAGATCTCCATTTGGAGCGGTATATTTTCAACCCACTCAGTTTCCAGGAATAACTTCGAGACACTGCCCGTACTATTTACCTTGAAACTACTTTATTTGTCTTTTCACGTTAACCCGCAGTTGATCTATTTAAACTGAAGACATGTTAGAGAAGTGCGCCTTACCAATGATGATTTCCAATAAGACCAAATGGTGATTATAAAATGTTAAACAGTAGTATCTAAGATGCACCTTACCTGCTTCATAGGCGTACTCACTGGCTGTTGTGTTACTAGAGGCACCTTTAACAGATAAGTAAGAAATCATTTATTAGAGCTAGTCTGAAGTTCTGCAGATTCGTAGAAACAGATCTAGAACGATCTCATCTGGGCAAATAACTCATGGAAACATACCAAGGTAAGAATGAAGCAACCGATCGCATACATGCTACAATATGCTATTGTTCCATTTATCGTTGTTATACATATTTATTTAATGCGAAAATTAAGAAATCCTATAATAGAGTAACTGTGCGCAGAACATCAAGAATCACTAAATATCATGCAACCAAATTGTGTGCTTTTTTTCTCTTCATAAAGTTGAGATCATAGCTTTGAGTCTGTGGGGAGTGATTTATGGTAAGATTTTTATCTGACATAAAACTAATGCTCATTCTAAGACGCTGAGTACAATCACATTACATGAAAACCAAAGATGAAAATTTAGAAGGTACGAGGTTGTATTAGAAGAACATTTCACACATGAAATGCAGAACAAGGCTTGGAATAGACTGGTCGTTATGACTTAGTTTTCGCTGATTTTAATAATCGAACGCAGACTGCAAAGCATACAAATTAGTCAGAACAGTAACTTAAAAAATTACTATCTAATGACTTGCTATATATAACTGTATCAATGCAGACCTTTCTCCACTGTGCAACGATTGAAAGCCTTTATTGATTTCTTCCAGACTGTATTGACCTGTAATGAATTCGTCCAATTTTATCGTACCTTGCAGGTACTTATCAACTAGTTTTGGAACATTGTCAGCACTTTTCCATCCTGAAATTTATTTTGTTCTATGATAAAATGTTCCTAGTTTATCAGTATTGATGTACTTTTATATACGAAAAACAATAAGAGTAAATTCTTCCTGAATTATTCACCATATGAAAGTAAATATTGCTATGAATCATATAGAAACCTCCAAAAGCTGATCCCTTCCACGTACGACCAGTAATTAACTGGAACGGACGAGTTGATATTTCCTTTCCAGATGCTGCAACACCAATGATGCATGACACACCCCAGCCTTTATGGGCTGATTCCAAAGCTTGACGCTGAAGTATCAAAATGGAAAAATGCAAATTGGCGAACGACAATAAGCTCGTAGCGAACAATACTTAGCATTATTGTCTCTAATACTTGCGACAACCAGATAACAGGGTGCATATAAAAGACAATTGTGCTCTATGTGTATAACTTCTTGAAATGTAAGGTGGGGACGAATAAAGTTACTCATCTAATATATGACAGAACATACCATTGTTTCAACCTGTCCAACACATTCAAAAGTGTAGTCGAAACCACCATTGTATCTCTCTACAAGAAATGCTTGTAAAGCCTGTTCCGTAGAGATATTTTGAGGGTTAATGCACTCATCTGCTCCAAATTCTACAGCTAGAATGAACTTTTTAATAATAAGCCATGATTAAGAATGATAAGTGAGCTCAAATAATGTCAGCTATTCTTTCTTACCATCATCACTTTACCTTTATCGAACCTTTTTTCATTGGTATCGATTGCCACAATCAACCTGGCACCAGCAATTTTACATCCCATTATAACTGCTAATCCAACAGTACCAAGTCCCCAAACAGCAACCGAACTACCCGATTCTACTTTGCAGTTGTTTATTACAGCACCATAACCGGTTGAAACACCGCAGCCAAGTAGACAAATTTTATCTAGAGGAGCATCGTTAGATACCTGTAATAATATGATATCTACATAAAAAATTCTAGCAAAAAGTTTCACAATATTTTGTAACGATAAAAAGTTATCAAACTTTTATTACAGACCAGAACTCCTTGAATAAAAAACTTTCTGCATAATGCAAAAACTTTCCTGTGTTTAGTTTGCATTTTTAATTTTCGTACAGACGAAAACTTTATTTCTCAAGAACAATGAAGCAGTTAAAGTCCACATAATACCTTTGCAACAGAATATCCCGACACCACCGTATATTCACTAAATGTACTGCATCCCATGAAGTGATATAATGCCTTACCGTTTTGTGAAAAACGAGTTGTCCTATCAGGCATCAAACCTTGTCCTTGTGTTAGTCTGCAACAAAATATTGTTTCCATTTTTTATAAACTAAATCGCTTCAGCAAAATAAATGATACTTCATTTGTGAATAGAAAAAAAAGTACGAAATAAATGGAAAATTATATTAAATTATCTCTACTACTTCCATGCAATTACGAGTCCTATTAATAGTTCATTATTTAAAACCATGTCTTTATTTACCAAAAAAGCGAAGAAAATAATTAAACATGAAGACATTTAAAAGTAGAAAATCATTTGTAATATATTGCAGTCATAATTTCATTGATATGTGTAATAAAAAACAAAAAACGTGCCGTATTCTCTGACACAAATTAGTTTTGGGATTGAGACAGTATTCACATGATTTACATTGCGGTATATATAACGGTATAACATGGTCACCTTCAAAAGAGCACCTTTATCAATAACAATACCACGACTATTTAATGTAAAATGTTATCCGATAGTGGTTATAAGACCAAAAAAAAATACGAGCATAAATGAAAAATTATGATTAAATTATCTTTTCTCATAATGTTAAATTGAATGTACTAGAATTAGCTTGAATTTTTTAAGACATAAGATAACAAGCAATGGCACCACATAACCTGTTTACCTGGTTTTACATGTGTTACACCATCCCCAACGCTTTCCACAATACCAGAACCTTCATGACCAAGAATACATGGAAATACCCCCTCAGGATCGTCACCTCCTAATGTAAAGGCATCGGTATGACATATGGATGAGTACAGAATCTATAAATCAAACATATTATACTCGATAAAGTAAAAATTAGAGACCGGCTTTCCAGTCAAACTAAATATTCTATTCCGAATCCCGGACTGAAAATTAATACACATTAAAACACATCAAATATTTCATTCTTACTTTTATTCGTAATTCTCCTTCTTTAGGTGGTGCAACTTCGATTTCTTCGATTTTCAGTGGCTTCTTTGGTCCCCAAGCAACTGCAGCTTTACATTTTATCGTCTGCAAAATTAATATCTACAACATGGTAATACATTACTTGTGTATGACATACACAAGCATCATGCCAAGACTTTGAAAGGTTAAGCATGAAAAAACTTCCACGTTCTAAAAGGTCAACATATCACCACGAGATTTTCATATTACAAAAAGATGAAGACCAACTTAACAATGCTTCCTTAATCACTGTCAGACCTGTCGTACGACAAGAAATTTTCTTTCCAGACTGTCAGTTAGTACTTTTGTACTTGTTCTTCCGCATAATTCATATATTAATTACTCATAAAACTATTCAAATTATAACCTTTTCTGAAAACTACAATTCAAAATTGGTACCTTGCCGATAGTATACATATCTCAAAAATTTTTTGAAAAACGAGATGGAAAGCAATCTTCTATTGAGGACGTGATGAAATTCTAATCCTACAATTGAAAAACTAGAAATTCTCATTGATCATGAAGAATCCTTTGAAATCCAAAGACATTTTGGATTTGAAACCTTATTTAGTGACAAAATTTTGTGAATATTTGAATAATTGAGATTTCGTGCATAAACAGAGTTCTAAATCTAAAAACTACTACTTGTACAGACTAGAAACTTGTTAGATAAAACTGTCTTTTTCATATTTACAAATCCCATATATTACATGTATTTCATGAACGAAATGAACTATTCTCTTATGTATCCACAACAAGCTTTACAGGTAAAGAATATGTTTTATATAATCAAGAGAAAACAATAATCCAATCACAAAAACCAACATTTAGCAGTGATACCAATAACAACTTGACTGATTTCGTAATGAGAAACATTATTCATAAAAAATATAAATCTCCTTATAAAAATGATGGCCGACCAGAGTGAGCCAAATTACTCATTTTTTTTAAAGAGTTCGCCCGGAATCAAAATATTCTATTAAATCTTTCCTCCAATTTTCGTACAAATGAATTTTCTATCATGGCAAAAAAGACCGGAAATAAAGTAACATGGATTACGAAATAACAGCCTGAAGTAGAAAGTAACAAAAAACAGTGGTTCATTACAAAAACAATTTACAGTATTATGTCAAAAATTGTGACAAAAATTTAGAGATGGAAAATGCACAGCAAGCTACTTAAATTCATCTTTCAAATCGAACAACCCATTCACAATGACGAGTTTGCGGAAACATATCGACTGGTGTAATGGATATCAGCTTAAATGGTTCACCTTCAAACTTTCGGGATGTTGATCGACAAATATCCACCATATTTTTCATCGCTAACCACGGATTACAGGAAACAAAAACAATTCTTTTCAATTGTGGCAGCTAAAGCAAACAAATCTTCATGTTTTTTTATATTATTGAGAACCACTTATTAATTCTTATTAGTAAGCAACCACTAATTTACTGAGAAATTTCCATGCCTTTAATAGTTTTATATATCTCTAATTCACTACTGCTTTCTAATTCAAATACTACTTATAAATAATGCTGAAACGTAGAGACGATAAATATTTTAGATAAATACATTGCATTAAATCTGTAACTTGAGACAGTGAAACAACTCTGATACATGATACAATGAGAAATCAAAGATGAAAACATTTAGAGTAGCATTAATTTTAATTAATTTCATTATGGTCTGTAGTGCAGACATTTTAATCACAGAAATAAAATCCATTAAACTGAAGAAATTAGTAATTTACCGCTCTGCATCCAATAATCACTTTCTCATGAACGCCAGCTCTAGGAGGATCAATAACTCCCACTATATTAGCTGTATTCAAATTAACCCATTTTGGTACAACTCGTTCTAAACGATGAAAAACTTCTTCTGCCTTAGCAGAAATAAATCCATAACTGTAATTATATTAAATAGGTGATGATTAAAAAACATCTGTGCATAGTTAAAGAGTTATCCTTCCTTTTATATTTAACACATGCAGAGCATAGATGAATTATCTTCCCAGCTCTCCAAAAACTTTAAGCATAACTCTGCATTAAGACAAAAAAAAACTGGATCACCTGTCAGGAGAAATTTTATTATCTTTTGCATTCATTCTCGCATCTTCAATCGCTTCAGGACTAATGTCAACACCTAATAAAAATTTACGATCAGTGTTTTGCCCCAATTTCATCAAAGTTATCCCGATTGTTCCAGTGCCACAACAAATATCCAGCACTACAGTTACCTGCTTTTCATTATCCTGAAACACAGAAAACTAAAAACGATTTAATTGCAACAAAAATTAGCAATTAACCGATTTGTATCTACTAAACACTTTTATTATAAGCATGAGTAAGACAAACAATTGATAATAAAAATAATCAAGGAGGTTTAGCACTTCTAAAAATTGATCACCTTTCCTACTTCTACAGAAGTTTTCAAGCCATCACATAATTCTCCTCCGCAATCTTTGTTCGGAAATGTTTTGATGTTTGAACTGCCAGCTTTGCCAGCATTATTAGTAATGCATAATCCACATTGCTCAGCAATCACCTTATATAATACAGCGGCTCCAAAGCTGTTTGTTTGAAAGAAAGATGAAGGTGAAACTCGAAAACGCACATTGAGGACGTTTTCATAAATGTAAGGAAGACCTGCAAGGAAGAAAATTAATATTACTGCAATCATCACATTAAAGTGAAAACAGTAATGAACAAATTTTTCCAAAGTTCTATACAGTAAAATAAATAATGTTAGTTAACTTTCACTTTGGAAATAAAAAGATTTATTCCTTATGTTTGGAGAAAAAATATGGTTTTAAATTTAACGAATCGAAGATCTATATTGATGAAGAAAATTGCCTAATAAATAAATGTAATATTGACATACTAAAACAGACAGAAACTATGCTCAGCAATGAAAACGATCACACGATTATATATAAGAATAAAATCTTATGCACCAGAAATTATAGCAATATATAGCATGAATTACACACCCGCAATAAATTCATAATTGACTGGATCACTGGCATTTGCCAACCGCTGCCAATACAGTGATGTAACACTAATAAGGTTCTTTTCATTGAGTGTATTGGTTGATTGAATAAACTTATCTTTTACCATTTTAATCAAAACATTCTCGCGTTCTTTGTCTTGCATTGGATATATAGTAACAATAATCATCATGTCCATACCAAATTCACGAATAGAAAGCATCTTCCACACACCTTTTCGCTCGAATTCATTGAAAGGCTACGAAGTGTAACATAGATCAAAAACAATAGTTTGCCTTTTTTTAACTTAATATCGGTAATTAGAACTAAAATACAAAACCAAAAATAACAACACAAATTTCTTTAAAGAGACTGAAATCTGAGCTTAAAGTAAGTCTATTCGTGTTCAAAGAAAATCTCTTCCGCGAAATAAATGCAGCAAAACAATTTAAGTTTACCGCTTCACCGCTTTCAATAATTAATCCCTGAAAAGCTTCCACAACTCGTTTCATACGGCTTGAGATATTATCACACGTATCCGGCGACAAAATATAATGCTGATTAGCAGCAAATTTACCACCAACAAAACCAACACAGATATCGCCATCGATACTGTGACCAGCTGTAAATTCACATTTGTTTCGATAACCAGTTATGCGTGGTGAAGGATGAATCTGTAATGAATAAAGAAGTGCACACAGCATTCCAAGGTGAATTTAAGTATTACGATACTATAACCTCTGAAAGAACATCGTCATTCTCTGCTACAATTTAAAATGTAGAAAAATTTTTGTTAGTTTTGTTCACCATAGCTCTATAGCACAACGATTAAACTACGAAAATTAAGCCCACATAAGTTATTTCATGAATATCTTTTCAACGTAATTTGAGTCGAAAACAAATCATAAATTTGGTATAACTGAAATTAAGAACTTACAGGTTTTATCAGTGATTCAATACCAATCTTATTAACTCCATGTACTCGTGCTATTTTCATCTCTTTTAACAAGCTAGCTGCAGTACGTTTTACGTCGTGCATTTTAATTTCCAGCTGTTCATGGTAAAGCTTATCTGCTAGAGGTGTTACACGTTCACGTGCTGTACGTCTCACCAGATCTGCACTTGGTGGCTTAAATAATAAAAGATACGAAAAGTAAATGGCTGAACTGAAATAATCCTTGTTTTTTCTGGGCTTATAAAATTTGACAAAGTACTCTTTTCAAATTCCTAATAATGTTCTAAATATCAATTATTCTTGAAAAACAACCTACAGTTTATAGGACAATAATGAAATACAAAAATGGAGGGGGTGTAAGTCTAAACTTTTTTAAGCTTTTGTTTCGGTCGAACAAAAACAATAAAGCTCAAATCTGAGAACCAAAAATTTTTAAATTCCCTTCAAATTACACAGAAATCTTACAACTTTTGGTGGTTGTGGTCGAGCTAAACTGGATCTTAAAATCCGTCCTTTTATTTCGAGACCATCAAAAATATTAACAACAGTGATAGCTTCTTCTGGTGTTGGAAGAGATAAGAATACTGTCGTGCCCACGTGACGGATATTCTTCACTTTAAACTTGCTTAAATGTCTGAAAAAGAAAATAATAACTTTAGCAACAAATTCATTGAAATAAGAATCAGTGTTTTCTCGGAAGAAGCAAAATGAATTATCTATCTGCATTCGAGAATACACTATGCTTGCAAAAGTTCAAAAAAATAAGTCCTGTATCTTGAAACGTTCTTATAAAAAAAAGATTGAAATAACAAGACTTACTTTGAAAGCATTTCCTTGACTTGTTTATACTTAAAGAATTGAGGAATATTACGTATTTGCACGCGCAATGATTGTTTCTTCTCGTCATCAGTGACTTTTTCACAGTAATCATCACTCTGTGATTTGCAAGTTTCAGTACACAAATTGGATGCTTCGGTCATTTCACGTGCTTTGTCGATGTCTGCAGAGGCTTTTTCTGCGTCATACAAATTTGCTTTTTCCGACAGCCCACCATTTAGTTCCTTACCTGCGTCTTCTTCTTTTGCTAATTCATCATTAAAAGTAGCTACTGTAACAGCAGTCATTCCAGGTGCTTCGCTCATCATCACAGTATTTCGAGCAATACAGTATTAGTATGTAAAAAGGCTGTTTAATCAACGAGAACAATAAGCACTTTTCTGCTCCAAATCCTGAATGCTAGCTAGTAGAACAAAACGTTGAAGTTATTAAAACACAAATAAAACTATGATTCGAACTAAAGCAGAATGTTATGTATTTGCACGCGCAATGATACATAAATAGTATTACGAAGCACAAATACCACTACATTAATAAAATCTTTAATACAACTTACGATAACTTCTTATGAGTATGAATAGAAAAATCAATCATCAACGTCAAGTACGAACAATAATTAGTAATATAATAAAGTGGAATAAAATAATGATAATTAATAGTAACAATAACCATAATGACGATAATAATTATTATTATTACAATTATAACTATAATTATAATATTAACGTGAAGAGCGAGGATAGGGATAGACTGTCGAATGAAATCTGAGACAGGTAAAATGGACTGTCAATAGGCCAGTAACGCTGCTCGTTTTTTCGCTTCAGAAGACAGACAACAGACATTGAAAGAAAAAGAAAAAAGTATGCTTAAGAAAGAAGCAGTTAGACATTTCCTCGATAACTCTGTTTAGATGAGGAGGTTTAAGAAAGAGAGAAGGAAAATTCTGAGGTCCATTGGAAAGATAGAATAGACACTGTGCTATTGTATGAGAGAGAAAACAAAGAGATGGACGGCCTAGAGAGTATTACGTAAAAAGTAAGAGAGATGTCAGCCTGGTTACGTGATCTCTACTTTTATACGTGAAACGTATTAGAGGTAGTATGTGATTCGTAAACTATTTTCAAACTGATGAAATTTTTGTTAAAGAACAATATAGGATTTTTAGTCGATAAATGTGAGTCTAATGATTGCTTGAAATTACGAAATTTTGATGAAATTGTGAGTGATTGAAATGCTGAAAAGAAGGAAAAAGAACTCGAAAGTGTGAAGGCGTGTAATAAAATTTATTTACGTGACAATTAGTACCTATAAATTTTATTCTTGTAACCACGTAGGACGTGTGAATTGAGATAACAACGCAAATAAACATGACTGATGAGGAGAAAAGTGCGGTAATGAGTATATTTGCAAACTTCAACGTAACGCTGAAAGAAGCTTGGCTGAACGAAGTCTTAGAATATCTTCACGAAAAACGAGCTGATGCAGTATGATAATAATTTCTCTTTCTGACCTTGACAATATCAAAAAATAATACTTACGTTTTTTTCACGTATAAAAGTTGAATAGCTTTTCACAATAGCATGAATCATCTTTTGATATTTTCAAATATGTTCAGTTTATAATAGCTTTTTTCACTAGCATAACAAATTGCTTGTTTTTGAGTTTGTTAATTCAGTGCACGTTCTTTTTCTGGCTACTCGCATTTGCGCCTCGTCGCTGGGTGTTTTCTAATTTGAAATCTTTTTTATAAAATTTTGAATCTATGAACTAGTAATAAATATAATCTTGCTTACTGTATCATTTTAGGATACATCTACGATTACTCAACTTGTTTATGAACAATGGCTATATTCTGAACTATCTAAAAGCACTCGTCCAACAATACGTCTTCCACCGTTTGCAAAGAAAGCATCATTAAAAACAGACGTCGTTGTTCAAGTAAATTCATTTTAGCAAGTTACTAATTTAAAACTGAAATTTTCTTGTTCTACCATGTTTTAAATATACAAGTAATTCAATGATATCTTTTCGGATAGTAATTCGGATAATATCTTTTTATCCGAATTTTAAGTGCAGTTTTATCACAGTTTTTTGAATTTTCCAATTTTCACATTTATTTCACAACGTACATCCAAATTACTCCTATCTGCAATAGATAAACTGGATAGTGGATATACATACTTCGATGTATTCGAAATTACGTGAACATACGGGTCGTGGTATTGATAGTACTCTTTTCCAGTCAGAAGTAAACGACAACTCATGGGTTGGAATTTCGTTTTATATTATATTTTACTGCTAAATATTTGTTTGTTTTTTATTTTATTTTTTGTTTAAAGTTTAGCATCAAAAAGGCTGATTTGGAACTTTGGTTCGTATGAGATCTTGGTTATTCTAACTTTATTAAAGTCTGTTTACCAGTTTTTTGTTTGGACTTATCTGCTGTCACTGTGCGAATTTCGTCTATTCTTTTTTTCGTTCTTAATTCTGATTTAATTAAGTAATAAAACAGGAAAAGTTACCAAAAGTATGATTTTTTTTTATGCAAATTGGAATCCAAAAATATGACCAGTATTATCAGTTGGTTTATATTGTATATGAAACCTTTAAATCAATCAAATTTACATCAAAGCATTATCTGATCTGTAGATAATTTGAATGATACGTATATGATACATTTGCTTTGAATCTAAAAGTAATGTGCACTTGTTAAATGCATAAGGCTCTCTTATTTCCAAAATTCCAAATTATCATATTTCGAGGATGCGGAATCAGAGGGTCAGATGTTCTTAATGGAAATAACTGATGGCCAACGAAAACTGCGTGCTATAGAATATCAGAAAATTGACGGATTATGTACAATGTTACTGCCAGGAACAAAAGTTTGATTTGGAACTTTAACTCATTTTTAGAAGTATTTTTTTTAACGAAGTTTCAACTCTTTCATTCTTCTTTATCATTTTTTTCCGACCGATTTCATGATTGAATCTGTAATATTCTGTATTCGTGTAATTTTTGAATCATTTTCTGCTCATTCTGATTTGTTTATTATATAACCGTAGCCTTCTGCTTTTTACCCCAAATTTAATGCACTAACACTGACAAAGCTGATTATCATTTTAGATTTGAAATATTATTGTTGTGAAATTACACACACATTTTCTTAAAGTTGTTCATCAGTGGTGATACCATTTGTCGCAACAGTGTTCTTTTGCTAACGCCAAAAAATGCCGTATTATTGGGTGGTGAAAGTGAAATGTGCCAAAAGAATGCACCTGTTGTTATTTTCGCTAGGCGATTAGGAATTAATGAAAGAAAACTTGAGATAGTTGAATGGTGATGTTATTGCTTTATTGAGAGCAAGAAAATATATTAGTTGGAAAATTCTGCGAAAACTATTCGGATGCCTAATATGAAAATCCGAAATGAAATTTCTTATATCTCTCGCCTTACCTTATTACTGTAATAATTGGAAATCAAAAAATCAAATTCCTTGCCTTGATTTGACGCTTCAAATCTTTCTGCAAGGCAAAAATTGAATTTGTAACAAAAGTTATTTTGTTGATTATACTTCATTTCTCACGCCATTAGTTTGATCTCGCTACATTAAAATAGTATTATAATATTTTGCTTAATGTTTAATACGATTTAAAAATACAACATGCATTACAGAGATATTAACAAGCATATTTTTAGTAAAACGAACAGCATAGCAGATGGAATGGAAATGAAGAAGGTAAGAAGTGTTTGTAAATTTATTTCCTTACTTTTCATATTTTTTGTGCTATAATTTTTGGTTTGAAAAGAATTGTAGCACACTAAACTAAACGTTAATGAAAACTTTTGAAGATAAATTCTATACAATCGTTTGCTTCCAATGCACCTGGAAATTCAGCACCACAGCGAGTTATTGATATTCGGAATGAGGAATCAACAAAGAGACGAAATATTGAGAGAAAAAACCAGTACGTGTACTTTAAACTTCTATGGAATTTTTACTTGATTTTTTTATGACTGAAAAAATTTTAATTCAAAACTTTTGATTTCAGAAAAAAGCCGGTTCTGTCACGCACAATAACTTCTTATTTTCAACAGCAAAGAAGGGGTTTCCATTCTAAAATGGAATCTTATAATGAATCGAAATCTTTCATCCATTCAACTGACCAAAACATCAAAGCGCAAAATGACGTGAACTATCCACTTCAGTGCGAAGAGGAAAATGCTAAATTCCTATCATCTTCAATAATTTCGAATTCCGCCATTGATTCCAGTTCTTCCCATTTTCCTAGTGCACTAGCTCATATTTCAGAATTAGAACAAGAATCATCTCTTACATCTCACAAAAGATTATCAACCTCAGAAATATTACAATCACAAATATGCAACATGAAAAAAACAAATGACTATTCGCATTTAGAATCTAAATCTCAGAAACTGGTAGAAAAATCAACAAATTCTACTAAGAAATGCCCTTCCTCTAATATTGCAAACTTCTTTGTCTCCAAAAAGTGTGTCGAAATCGAAGCATCTCAACCTTTAATTTCTGCACGATTATTGGCAAAAAATTTGGAAATAACCCAATCCTCAGAAATTATGAGTACATCTAAAGAAGATGCAACTGCACCGCCTAATATTGTGTTACTTAGTGGCGAAAGCAAGCGAGCAGAATTACCATCAGCGTCAAAAGTTCCTATTTGGTCCGTAGAAGTACAGAAACCACTTGCTGCTGAGAGTATTCGTTCTGCAACAATCATTCCGTCTTCTGATATGCAAGAAGTATCCAACTGGAAAACATGCAGAAAGTAATAATTTTCACTACTTTTTATTATACCGGAAATATTCATAAACTCATAGTCAGTCATAGTCATTCATATTAAATGAGGAAATAATTTCAGCTCCATTTTTTGAGCTTTTGATATTCTTAGGTATGAAAATTAGTTGCTTGCTAACTTGTAACCTATTTTGCTCTGATTATGTGATTTTTCAATAAGACAGCTATGCATTATCAGGAGACAGGCGATTGATGAAAACAGCAAACATTTTCTGGCTAATGAATTCCATATGCTTACTTCCAATGTGTGTTAAGTTTGAATTAATTTATCACATTTTGAATTAATTTTTATTCAAATAAAAATTTAAGCATTTCACACGATAAATATGAATTTTACTCAGTTCTATCTTAGTGGTTTTTCTATTTACTAAAAAAAGTAGTGCGTGTATGAAGTAAGTATACGAAAATTTGAGTACGTGTTATTTGATAAGCTGAGGAAATTGCAGGCGCACACAGTGGAAACAGCAAAGTGTACTGAACGGGCACACATTGCTGCAGAAGAGGGAATGATGGGTTCCCAATATAATTGGAAAAAACGACTTAGTGAAATGTATGCAAATATTGGATCTGCACATAATTTTCCTTACATTTCAAAAGGAAATGGATGTAAATATTTTCATTTTTGTTTCAGAGCTTTTGTATTAGTATTTAGTATGAAAAGAATTCGGGATGAGTGTGGGGACTCCGTGGCGCAACGGTAGCGCGTCTGACTCCAGATCAGAAGGTTGCGTGTTCAAATCACGTCGGGGTCATCGGCACATTTTGCGCAAATTTCTGCTATGAAATCATGAACGATGTGCATAGTAGCGCTAACCAAATATGTTAACTATTGAGGAATATTATTGATTACCAATGTAGTCAATGCAATTTCAAAAGTTCATCTTGTTAAAAATACTATCAGTTTAGTAATTTCCTAAAAATTGCAAAATTGTTTTGTCAGTTAAGGTATTTCCTTATATTCACATGAATCCAAATGCTGATACCATTCATCATCGGTCTCAAAATAGAAGAAACATATGTTGAGACGATTGTTGACTGAGTAAACCAAAAATTTGAATTCATGTGGACATATGCGATGCTTGTAACGAATTAAAAACCCTGTTGAACTTATGCATATTTCAGCATAATTAGTGAGAAATGAAAAAGTAATGCTCAAATTGATTGTCTTGCATTCTATTAGCAAAGGGTAAAAATATGCTATATATCAAAAATCATATTACCGATGTGTCCGTTGCGCATAATAATGAGAGTAGAAAGGTGCAGGAAGTCCAAATGGCATAAAATTAATTACGTTAATTCTTATCATCCTTTTATCTATCATAATTATTCTATTTTAAGCCTAACATCAGCCCATAATGTGAAATATATTATAACTATGTGCGTGTGGTTTAGAGTAATATCGAAAAAGCAATAATTTGGAAAGACATATCACATTGAAAGCAATAAGTCAAGTATCAATGGACTTGAGCAAAATATGTATTTTAAAAAGAAAGAGAATTATTATATATTCCCGTAGCATTAAACTATCGTAAAGCAAAATGGATGACCCCGACGTGATTTGAACACGCAACCTTCTGATCTGGAGTCAG